ATCGCCTCGGAGAGCAGTCTCTAAGTCGAAGAGAGAGACGTCATCATCCTCTGCTGTGACGGTGGCTCCCTTTTCAGGGTCGGAAGCAGATTGATGCTTATTCTTGCGGCTTGCTCGAGAAACACCGGTAAACTCGCGCTGCAGGCCGGCAAAGTGAGCCTCAGCTGCCTCAACAGAGACGCCCGTCTGAACTCTGGCAAGTTCCTTGGAAGAGCGGTCACCTTCAACCTGAGTCTCCACAGAGTTTGAATCCAACTGCTCGCCAAGGTCCTTTGCCGTCGCCGAGTGCGCCGTGCTAGGCAGCGACTCCTCCTTGAGAGGAGGCTGCTCCCCAGCCATTGCGGTTACTTTTTGGAGAGTTGTATGAAGCTGCTATATGTATAGATGCTTGAAAGGATGAATGTCGTTGTCGGTATGAGAGTTGTCCAAAAAGGGTCGTCGCCGAGAATGGATGAACGAAGGATACGTTTGGCGTATAGTATGGATCAAGTTCCAACAGGTCCACACAGAATTATAATTGAGGTTCTAATGACGATTGAATGCAATAATTTCTTTTTTGGTCGTTTGTATGGTCAGAGATCAGATGAAGCAAAAAGAGTAAGCGGTGGGCTTGAGCGGTGTGATTCTACCAGACGAAAGAAAAAAAAGCACAATACAGATATTAGTAGAGAAGGAGGATACCAAACAACCCCAACAGAGAAAGACTCTCGATGACAACCAAAAATTGGTTACCAAGCGATGATCAAAACAACAGCTGAGCGAAAGCAGGATGCCTAGAGTTTTTATTCATTTCCTCACGGCTAAAGAAAAGCGCAAAGCAAAAAAAAAAATCGGGGGCCTGCGGAGCTACAAGGGGGTAATCTTTTGGCCTGCCAAGATTTCTGGGGCCAGATAACTGCATCCAAAACCTCGCCCTACAGTATGACAAGGACAAGGACAAAGTTCTCTGACATACTTGCCGGCCAGCAGACTCATGGCCCACATGCAGGGCGGTTCCTTGCCGCAGCTCGAGTTTGCCAGCACAGCTTGGTCTGACCGTCAAAAGTCCGAAGGCGAGGGGCAAAGCCGGAGCTACAGCCGTTCACCAGGTAAAAGCCGGCCAAGCGGCGACAAGAATCCACTCTGGATGCAGACATTGGGGGTACCGGAGGCAGTGGAGCATTCCAGGAGAGCTACAAGTTGCTGTACTCGTACTTGTACAGCCGGACTATTGATCATTGCTACGATGAGTATCGCGTCGGGTTGTTTACTACAGGTACGTGCATACGAGTACCTACATACGACAAACTACAACTATGTTGATGTTTGGCCATGGAGGCAATACGCTGACGACAGGCATTCCATCGCTGTGACCGATACAAGTTCCACAGGCCAAGCTGTCAGACGTTGACGCTCTTCTCCCATATTGGAGCCGATGAGATGACCAGCTCCCTCTTTCATGCTTTGGAGCCGGAATAACAAATGTTGGCGTACGAGTATTCTTATTATTATTAATAAGGTTCATTTCCGGAAACCGGAAATACGGAGTTAGAGCCGCCAGCCTCTCATAAAGCTGAATGTTCCATCAAAGCACCATTGGTTGCAGCGGCTGGCCGTGACGATCCCATCAATGACAATCTGTTGGATATCCAACTGAAGAGCTTCCGTTATTCTGTGCTTCTAAAGCACGACATTGAAATCAACTGCTATACGCTGGTGTGAAAGATCCGATGAAAGACCTATGGCATCAATCGTGCTCGGGCATGCCCAAAACGGCAATAAGCCAATAAGCCAGCAACACGATGGATCATGGTGTGCAACCGGTGGCGCTGCGGTTGGTCAGGATCGTGGGGCGTTTGGTGCTGGAACGACTCAGCAACTCCGAGCTTTAGTCTTACGGAGCCCCGAGTGCAAGGGTCGTGCTCAGCTGGAGAGATGTCGATGAGAAAGTTACCCATAGCGAATCCGTCGATAAACAGCTTACTCCCCAGACTTTTTTTTGTCTTTGTTTCTCGTCTTCTCGAAGCCAAGCAAACGGCTCCCTCCTCGTTGTGTTCCGGTCCAAGAAGCGGTCGAAACGACCTCAATACATTACCGCTTCTCTATCTCTAGCCCGCATCATGTAGGAGCTGACAGTACATATAATCGATCCACAACTCTCCTTTGATCGGCTACGAACGACATGCGAGTACCTGGAACGCCGGCTCAATCACCGCCTACTCGTATCTTGATTCGCGACATCCCCTCTCTTGTCACTTCTCAACTTGGAAAGGTCACCGGATGTAACACGGCACCACTGATACTTCACGGGACGCGTGCCAATATACATCTTTTGGTATGGGATGAAACAGACCAGCACGGACTTTCAAGCCCGCCTCACGGCTTGGAGGGTGCGGCGCTCGGCGCTCGCTGACTTTTCTTTTTTCGCCCACTTCGTCTTCCTTCAACCGGGGGGTTGCGGCCCGCGCCCCTGCTGGCCACGCCGTCTGGTGTTTGCCCCGTTTCAGTCTGCGCTGATACGACATGCACAAACTGCCATGAGGACAGTGAGACATTCTTCAGCCGCCCCGTGCTTGTCGCAGCAAGACTTGTTGTTTGATTGTCTCATACAAGCACGCAGTGTCTACGGCATACGAGTACGCATCACCATTTAATACGCCCAGCCGTCGTTTGTGGCTCACGAACTCGGCCTCCTCCGAGCTAGTTCAGCATATGGGCCCTTCATCAAGCCGGCGGGCGCGGCACCCGCCGACCCTGGACTTGTAGGTTCCTACAGGCTGAGATTGCCGATCCAAGAACTGAAAATTTCGACGCCTTGGTGGCGAGCCTTGCCTCAGCGGGAAATTGCAATTCTTGGGACTCAGGCCCCCGCCATCCCTCCGCATCAACGTTGAAAACATGCTCAACGGCGAGCTGAGGTGAACCAGCCGTGTTTGCGTGTCATGGTTGAGAACATGTACATGTGCGTATTAACGCGTGGAGTAATGGTCGGGCTCTTCTCACTAGCCTTGGTAATACGCCCTCCACCCGCCGTCAGTTAATATGCAACCAACTTGCTCGCCGGATGACTCCCACTCAAAAGGAGGCGCAATCCGGCACAGCGTTATCCCGCTTGTTACTAATACTAACAAAACTTCACTCGTATACAAGTGGCTCCATTTTGCTCAAGACAGGGAGCACACCAGCTTCTATGCAGGCACTACCTACTACTCGGCAGTTATCATTCCAAGTATGTCTGCGTGACATCAAAGAACCAGACCACAAAGAGCGCTCTTCACTTTATCCGCAATATCGTATCGTTGTCGTACAGAAGGACATCAACTGTCGCCTTTGATAGGCGAAATTCCGACTTACTGCACAGCAGCCCTTCCCATGTCTGGAGCATCTAGATGGAGCAAGGCTTCCGTATCTCATAAATTCTTAATTCCATTCTTAATTCCGTAAACAATCACAATCTCAACCGCAGCAAAGACCCTCTCAAAGATCGACCATACCAGCCCCCACACGGCAGAAACAAGCAGAGAAATGGAATAAACGCTACCCCTGTAATAACACTTCACGAAATACGAGTAACACTTTCTACGGGACAGATACAGAGCATCTATTTGAGATAGTAGTAGTAGTAGTAGCATTTCCAGCATCGCCCTGGCACCTGAGACCGAGTTGATTAGGTACATCCTTGAACCATCCTGCTTGGGTATCAAGTGAACAAGGAGTCAAGACCAGGATTATCAGCACTGAAGCCCCAAATGCCAAGATTAGGCCACATCACCAACCATCACCGAGCAATGCTACTGTACATGCAATGGCTGCGCTCATACTTACACGTGCAAGTACCTCGTCATCTTGCCGTGAAATCCAAGCAGGGGGGCGCAAAAAACACCGCCGCCTATCACTTAACATTATGTATAGTGTAGACCGGCGGTGTTTTTTGCAACCCGCAACCCGCCAAGGTACAGTCAAAAGCAAACAACGGCGCTGCGATCCCTTGCATCTCCCAACCTCTGCTACGATCGTATCTCAATTACTTACGGAGTGGACAAGGCAATCAAATCGTCAAACTCCGCAGCCCCAGTGGATCGAATATTCCGCAGATATGGAGCCATCCAGTAACATGACGCTCATTCCTCACCGCACAACCCATCCGTAGGCCAAGGAGCCGCCCGGAGACATAAAGTAAGAAGACAAACGCAAATCTCCCGAGGGGGGCGAGTGGCTGTTGCGTGTTTTCGGTATTTGCGTTTGTTTTGTGTGATCTAGCATGTGCTTTCAATTCCGTCAGAATTATTCAGACCCTCTTCGGAGTGTTGGTTACCGTTATTATTCAGCTTCCATGATGGGCAACCAACGCTTAGCGATCTACTGTGCGGAACTCCGACATAGCATGACAGTGTGACCCAACTACGGAGTATAGAATTCGTTAAATGTGTTTGTCGTATAATCTTATGGCGCAATCTTTGATTTTTTACGCAACGGGCGGTGTTGGAAGATCCACGGCCAAGTGCCATCACCGTCTGCCTAGCTACGAGCTTGGAGCTGCCATCATGAGAGAACCCAAGGCCCTCGCCCCTTGCTTTGGCTAAACAGGCCGAAACTCATTCTTTGCTTCGTAGTGTTACTATTCATATACATGTGTGGGGTCCTTAAATACTCCAAAAAATGCTGGAGTCAGCAGGACAACGACGCTCCCTTGCATTGCGACTGCATCAAATACTCGGGTATATTCTCAAAATCACTCATGAATAGCCCCCAAAAACACTCCGTATCGTTTGTAACATCCAGCTCAGAGCAAAGTATAAACCACAGAAGTCGAGGAATCTCAACCAATATTTGGAGAGGCAGCAGTCAAGAGGACGCAGATTAGCAATCATATCTACTCACTGTAACCATGACACGTTGTATCCGGAAGTGTATCCGGAAGTGTACCGGCTTAAAGGGGGAACTGCCAAGTCCCCAAATGCGTTTGCTTCAGTATTTGTTATCACGCCTTTTCGTAGAGATAAAGTTCCACGCATTGCGTCTCAGCAAGAACGGGCAGTGGCAACGTCTGCCTGTGTAACTCCGTCCACCCCTGATCTGATAAGAGGCCAAACAGCGCGTCCCCCGAAGCGTGCCGCGGCCGCCGGCGGCCGCGGCTTTGTCTCCAGAAAGACTTTTGTAGACTGCGGCTGCTCGCCGGTCACTGCCTTGTTGAACTCGTGCAACGCGGACAGCGTGCCGACCAGAGCGGGAAGCATGTCCACGTTGTAAGTGCGGTCGCTGAGTAGGACAAGGTCTCAGCAGTGACTTTGTGCTTCCGGGCCAAACACTCCTTCTCAGCCTTGCTCCCAATCGTGATTTCCATACAGAAGCTTTATAGGAGGAGCAGTGTTGGACTTGTACTCCTGCCGGGCCCGAAGAAGCCAGGACATGTTTGATCTACTCCGACGTTCTGCTTCCTCCAAGTCAGCCATGAGAATAGTACATCTACGGTTAGGGGGTGGCCGTGTCCTTGGCAAGACGACAATCCAGCCTCCAATGAGAATTACCACGCCGTATTCTAGTTCTAATGCATTGACAGGTTTTGGCCCGGTGAATACGCCTTTAAAGCTTTCAATCCGGAGAGCTCTGTATCCGTTGGCGTCGGCAACATGCATGATTCGGCAATTGCACACAATGCAAGCACACCAGCATCCCAAATGTGTCTCGCAATGCTCTCACCAATCTTCTCTCCAAACTCAACGTAGAAATCCTGCTCGGAGGTGCCGGGTAGTGATAGTCTTCTTGTAGAACCCTCAACATCAGCCTCATCATGGTGGCTCAGAGTGATCCAGACTAGCACCCCTTACCCAGCCGGCTCCTCTTTTGATACAACCGTAGTGGCAAGAATATCACGTATGACAAGCACAGAATATTTCTCTGTGCTAATAGTACATACGTCGACCTTGCATTTTGCCTTTAGTGCTTGTTACACAGCTGCAGAAATGTTGACAGAAGGCTTTGCAACGCGCGTCCCAGATCACCAATGTACATAGGGATTTCGCTGTTTCCGGCAACCGACTTAATGGGGTGTACTTTTTAGATCCTCAGCCAGTGTCTATGTCGGGATAAATTGTCAAGCCAATTGGTCCGTATGGATGTAGAAATGAGTCTCCCGGATCTGTAGTTATTGCGAGGACGAGATCTAGCGTGCGTTTCTTTCCAGAGTGAGATTGAGCCGAGCATTTGAGCAGTCGTATGTATTGCATCAAGTGCCTTACTATTTGTTTCGAGTATCGATTATCTCTATCTCTTGGCACTAGAGCGCACTCTACTGACAATTAACAGATATAGGGTATGTATGTCGATATGTATCAAGTAGTAGATAACTCTTGTCGCCTTTGACGGAATCTTATTATTTGCTTAGTCACTTAACAGTTACTACAATCATGAATTTAGAAGGGCGTAACACATACTTGGGTATATTGAAATAGATTCGCAAGAGGGTATGTAATATTAAGAAAGAAACCGTTCGAGATACAAAAGTTATGCCCAACAATAATACCTCTGAACACTAAGAATGTATGCTCGCCTGAAATCCTCTGTAGTTTTGTGCCCGAATTAGAACAAATAGTGATCTTGTTCAAGATCAACAGGCAACAGAATGAGGCAAATATCTGCACAAGTACAGAGCGAAATGATCGTTCTATCTCTATGTAACCCGTATTATGAATAAAAAACCGCCCGCAATGCGATATCAGTAGAAACGATCTATCATAAAGCAAAGGATAACGAAGTAGGAGGAAGGAAAGGGTATGTCATCAAGAAAGATAAGAGGGAATTTTGATACATCCACAAAAGTGCACACAGAATCCTGCTGTCTGTGTGTGTCAAGTCCAAAAAAAAAAGGTTCCCAAGTGTCCTCTTCCTCCTCCTCCTCCTCCTCCCCTCCTTCCTTTTCCTCCTCTTCCTTTTCCTCTTCTTCTATATCCATGGGCTCTAAATGACTCTGAATGGCATGTTTCGCCAAGCTAGGCAGCTCGAACTCATCCCCATCTATTGAATCATCTTCCTCGCCCTCTTTCTCTTCCCCTTTAGATTCATGTTGGTCCATGAAGCCATTAAAATTCCGAGGAGTAGGAGAAAATGGCGAGAAATGAGCCAGCCTAGCCGGAGTCTCTGCACCCGGATATTCGAGAAGGAGAGCTCCATCATCAACTATTTCAGGTTCGCGTGGCGTCATCCATTGTTTCAATCTGCTCACTTTACCCATTTCTTCGCTCGACTTCTTACCCGATGACGTTGGCAAGGCCGTTTCGAAGACTGGCTGTTGTTTCAATAAACCTTCCTGGATTGGGAATATAGTAGCTGCCTGTTGACCATTGTTAGAAGTCCTAAACGAAACCTGTTGACCACTAAACCCTTCTCGCCACCGCTGCAACTCTTGCGCAATTGCTTCATTCCTTCGACGCTGCGGCTGGCGGAGGGAGGTACGGACAGGGGGGTGAATGGCTGTTTCTCCTTTTCTCAGGACAGATGATGATTGAGTGCCGGCGGCGCGGACAATGGGATTGGAATTATTTCTTAAATCTTGTCTAATGACGCTGTTGCCCCGTGTTTTCGATGTAGGTAAATGGGATTGTAGGTATTCTACTTCTTTCTGTTCCTCTATGTGCTCTTCGTAGTTGGGTAGTGATTTGAGGGCGAGCAGAAGTAAGTGCTCTGCGACATGGCCGGCCCTACTGCCACTGAATTCGTTATTACCACATTACGGACAAGGTTTGGGCATAGAAGTCGATGGTCGCGCAATTCTGGTGGCCAGGACATTGAGTTGCGCATCTGTAAATTTATCAGGATGAACAGCTTTCATGTGGTCAATATATTCGCTCTTGGTGATGCTCTGGAATTCTACGTGCGATTCAGAAACGCAACGCCATCGCATATAATGTGAGGACATATGATTGAGCCATGCACCGTGATGGCTATACACTTCTTCGGGTGAGTCGCAGCCTTCAAAGAGGCAGACATATGGATCGATATCATTCTTAACATGTAACCTGCGGGGATTCTTAGCACCTAGACATGACGAATTGGGGTTGATTGGAGTGCTGTGGTGGGAAAACGTTGCTGATATTAGACTTACTTCCACTTGCTCTCATCAACGACATCCCGGGCTGGTAAACTTAAGCAACATAAAGGACAATCGATTTCCCCTGCAGCCTCCAAAATTTCATTCCAGTCTTTTTCTAAATTTTCCTTGTATTTTTTGACTACTTCTAGATCAGAATTCTCGGTTTCTTGGTTGAGGTTGTATTCTTCTTGCCGCTGTTTCTTCAACATGTCGTATTTTCGCATAATGTTATCGCAAGGGGCGAGTGGAAATGGGACGTTCCCATAGTCACCTATCACAGCACTCCCAAACGTGAAAGCTCTAGATGGCGCTGCAGCTTTTTGTAAACGTGTAGAAAGAAGCGTCGTCGTTATTTGTGTTGCAGACTATGTAATACCTTGAGGGATGTCTGCTGCTGTAGACGTAGTATCCGCTTCAGGTCGATTCGCTTCATCGCGGACAAGTAATTGCGATTCTTCCACGGGATTTGACGGGTTTGCAGTTCTATAAAGAGTTGTACCACGGAAAAATGTCCGATAGAGAATTTTTTTAAGTCGCAAAATCATGGTGTTGACGAGGCGTTGTTGGATGATACAACTTACTCTAGGAAATTGGTTACGTATATGCCAAGCAAAGTCGTCTTTTAAAAAAGGTTCCAAGTCGTGTCCCTCGTTGTCTTTAATCTCAAAATTCGTGATAGCGTTGAGATCTTGAGTCTCTCTGCCTATTCTGCGGATGATGCCTGAGAACTTGTGAAGGAGCGCAATTTGTTTCGTAATGGTTTGAAGAGCTGAACTGAAGTCTGCATTCACATCAGGCAATGGCCTATCTAATGCCACTGGACTGGATGTGTCAAGTATCAGAGTGCCTAAAATAGTCATTCTCAGTACCTCTATTCCTTATTTGTGAAAATATGGTGACAATGATTCGTTAGAGATACACTTACAATTCTGAACGCTGTAGTCCAATGCTTCCACAACTCCGATAATGGCATCTTGGGTATCAAATGACCCTCTCAAACGGTAATCTAAAGATTCTCGACCTAGAGTAAAAACCTGAAAGCAAGCAGCCCAGAGAGAGAATTTTGCGAGCTGGTTTTCCACCAAGGCCAACTCCCGAGCATGAACATATGCTGCTTTAGCGAGGCATTGCTGGAAAGATCCAAGGCACTGGGTGGCACAATTAGAAATATCCAACTTTATTGGTTCCGGATCTGATGAAGTCATATTTGACCTGATTTTGGGGTCCAGCTCTTTTCAAAGTGAGGAGCCGCGTTGCGAGTGCTCCGGCTAGAGCAACGTGCGTTCGAGTACGGCCTCGCGGTGATATCAACCCCGCCCAAGTTCTGCAATGTTGCACACGGGTATCTGTCTTGAGTAAAGGTACTATACGACCGGACACTTATGTAGCAAAGTCTAGGTATAGAGACAAGTGTCCGATATTGTTCACGTAGCACATTGTTGAACCTCCCCCGCACGTGTTTCGATGCTTCACGGACAAACATCAAGAAATGAGAAACTTGCTTTATTACAAACTTTGACATAGATCCAAATGGGCACAAGTACCATATCATATAAAGGATCCGGATAGGGTCCCCTAGAGGCGAGATGACTTCATCCTTTGTGGCTGCTAACACTCCTAGTAGTCTTCAATTGTTGATTACAGCATCTGAAACAATCATGAGTGCTGCTAAGATTCTGTGGAAGGAGGAAATACATGGCGAGCTTAAGCTATTTTACGCGAGCGTCAAAGCCCTCTGTTTTATCGTGAACTTCCATTGGAAGCACGTCAGCGAGGTGGTGAATGGAAATGACGCGTATCTCATCCATGTAACTTTGGGTCACTTGGAATCCGCAATTGCGTTCGAAGCTCTGGATTCGCCCTTCCATGAAGCATTTACAAGCGCTCCACGGTATGAGAAATTGCGCATTTTCAATGAACATTGGGAAAGGCTTCAGAAACTGGGCGACTATGATATGACCCTCCGATATGCCAGATCATGTATGAAATTCGGAACCAATGAGGAAGAACGCAACCAGTTCATCAGATTGTTGGACTGGTGTGAAGAGAGACTTCGACTACGGTACCCTGAGAACCATTCTGACCTGGCACACGAAGAGCTTTCTACCAACGCGGTTGGTTCAGCATCTATCGCCGTATGGAGCGCAGCGCAGTCCATTTTCAAGGCTTTTGTGGCCTGTAGCAACTGCGAATGCATACCTGCCCACGACATCGGGGTCCGGCTTCGTTTAGGTACATATTTGCAGCATACTCTATGCAAAGAGGAAGATACAGACGACTGCCTCAACTTCGACATATTCCTTTCTATGAAACAGGGGTGGAAGGAGGCTCGTGTATTCATGGTGAAAGAGATACCAGAGAGTGCTGTGCAAATTCAAACCAACAACCCAACAGAGCAACCCGGAAGAGAGAAAAAGGCGACCAAGATAAGACAAATGAGGCTAAAACAACTGTGTGTGCCGATTGAGCGCTCAAACCTGCGGCTCATCGACTTAAGCTCAAAGTCGCGGGCGATCAGATATTTAAACTACAATCCGAGAGAAGCACATTCCTAGTCGATAGAGCAAAGAGCCCTGTGACGCTGGAGCAGTTTCTTAGGAACGGATCGCATCCTTTTACTGAGAGAACAAAACGTATTCTAACTGTGATGCTCAGCTATGCTGTGCTTTATCTACACGATACTCCGTGGATACAACCTACATGGAGCTCTTCGCACGTCTTATTTCTTCCCACAACTTCTTCGTCCGTTCCTTTACAACCATTCATCCAAACCCCTCTGGCGAGTCACTACAACTCTAGCCAGATTTCCTGCATCGACCCGGATGAACTTGACCCTGATGATCCAGTACACCACTGCCCACTTCTAGTCACACTAGCAGTGATGCTTATGGAACTGTACTTTGCTGTGCCCTTCGATATTTTGGCCAAGCAGTATGGTTTGGACATCGCAGGGGATAATCAATCACCAATCTCTACATTGAGGTATCTTGATGTTAGTCTAGTCTTTGAAGCATGTAAAGGTGAAATCCCCGAAGATTACCAATTTCATTACGCTGTGGAGAAATGCCTGGATCCCACTATCTGGGAAGATGAAGATGGAAAAAAAACTGGACAATCAAGCATTGGCATTGAAGATTTATCAAGAAGTCGTCAAGCCATTAGAGACTGAACTAAGTCAAGCTTTTAGCTCAATCTCTCGCGACAATCTTGACGAGTTTGCAAAGACCATCGACATTGCAAATTGGGACCAAAGTATACAACAGCAAGCTCGAAATGAGGTACTAGAGGGCCACACACAGGATGTCCAACAAAATCGTCATGGTAAGCGACCTAGATCTATGTCACCAGGTTATCCACCACGATCTTCTGCGGGCGAATTTTCTGGCCAATACTCCGACAATTGTCAACATGTCTGTCCATGTTGTGCTACTAGATCTCTACGCAATGCCTCTCGAGCAACGACGACAGATGACGAATGCCGAGCTTCTCGATTTTTTGATGACGAAACCATTTCTGAGGCACATACCAAGGAATCGTAAGTAATGAAGACATGGTCACAAAATCTTCATGTCTGCTGCATATTAAGACATTCTTCAGTAAAATAGATTTTCGGGTTCTCGTGAAGAGATTTGCTAACGCATGTTGCCCACCAGGCGCTCAAACTATCATTTGTGGAAATTTCGATATCTTGACGTCTACGGCAAATTCATTCCCCAGAGTTCAATTCTACCCAACATCAAAATTGCGATTCTTGACACGGGTGTTGACGTACAACATCCATATATTGATGCACGCTTCGAGAATATTCAAGGCAGATATAACTGGCTCAGCGAGGATGGGCCCGCAAACGTGCGTGTGGTTACGGATATGAGCGGCCATGGCACGTTCGCGGCGAGTCTGATTCTGGATTACGCACCTGATGCCCAACTTTTTGTTGCCAAAATAGCTGAAAAGGAACTATTGAAGTCCAACGTGATTGCCAAGGTAAGCCTTCGATTCCAGATACTGTTGACATTCGCCATGAGCGAGCCCTGTTCTAAACCGTACCTTAGGCCATTAATTATGCAGTCTCTACTTGGGAAGTGGACGTCATCTCAATGTCATTTGGATTTCCCACATGTAACATGGATGATTACCACGAACTTGAAGATGCTCTTGCAAATGCTCATGCGAAACGTGTATTGCTTTTTGCCGCAGCTTCGAATAGCGGAGGGAAGCTGGGCCGCGCATATCCAGCTCGCGATCAGAATGTCATTGCCATTCATGCGACAGATACATATGGTAATCGATCGCCGTTTAGCCCTACAGCGTTGTCTCACGATATCAACTTGGCGACGGTCGGCGAAGCCATTGAGTCGGCGTGGCCAGTGTATCTATTGGATAACTCCAGTTCCAAGGCCCTTAGATGTAAATCTGGCACATCGTTTGCGACTGCTATAGCAGCCGGGATTGCGGCTTTCCTCTTGCTATATGCAAAGATACATTTACCAGATAAAGCTGACGCGTTGAAGAGTCGGCGGAGGATGCAAGCGTTGTTGAAGCGAGTGGCCGAGAAAGAGGCGGGACAGACGGCGAGAGATGGTTATCATTTCATCGATTTGAGCTTGTATGCAGACAGTTTGTTTGGCAAGAGTAAAGAGTTTATTGACGAGACGATTCGGGATGTCTTGAATACATAATATGTATTTGAAACTGAAGGAGACACTGCATATTGAGTGGCGTTACGACCGACTTTGATGATAAATGCAATCAAAATGCAAGATATCAAATACAAATTGTCATACATGAGAGGTAATGAGTCTAATGCCTTACTGAATCTCATATTATCCGTCTATGTCTAGGCTCTATGGCTGGATCTACGCCCTCGCCCTCGTCTAATCGACCTCGTCCGCCCACTTCGCGGGGGCTACAAACGCCCCGTCCGGACCCAAAGTTCCCGAAACAAATCTTGATTCATAGTCAGTGATGGCGCTTGAGAAAGGGGGTTGGATAACATGCTTGGTATGACTTCCTCTCGCAGCAAGCTGGCCCTTGCTATTGTAAAACTGTACGGTTGTGTACGCGAGCGTCTTTCCGACTATTTTAAATAATCAGTATCAAATCACCATTCAATTTGTCGGTCATAACGTACTCTTTTCACATATAGCCGTTCCCTTGAGGATATCGCCCGGTCGGCCTCCGGGGCTGAGATAGGTCACTGAGCGAACGAGGTCAATGATGTGAGCACTTGCGGCTAGAGAAGAGAGCATGTCCTTACCGTTCAAGTCGGTCGATACGCCAGTTGCGAACCGTCCAGTGGAAGCAACTGCCAGGGACCCCCCGAGATCGACGAGACTAGCTATAGTTCCTCCATGTATCGTTTGGAGTCGGTTCTAAATGGAGAGGTTAGTGAGGTTGCTTGACAGATACAGCGGGGCCAACTTAAAGTGTGGTCTTTATGGATGTCAACTTCAAAGTCAACTCTACCCTCAGAGGCATCTATCAACCGAAACTAGAGCGCCTTGTGAGCACCAACTGAGCTTTGCTGGCCAATCTGGGATACTCTTGCATACTCGGTTGTGTAGGAGTCTTATATCCCGTTGTTAGTGGCTTTGCCTCGGTAAATGGCCCTCGTGAGAGTTTGTGCTCATACCTGGGCTCCAGACCCGATTCGGCCATGAAGGACCGCATGACGGCCTTTGTAAAATGGAAAGGAGAAAGCTTTTTCGTCATGATTTCCCTCGAACTGATTCAATTGATCGATTATCTCTACACGTTGGTCCTGGGAACTGAGATGGGCGCAACTGCTCGATAGGCGACGCTATCCGCTATCGCTCCGGTTACCCGATAATGCGCCGAGAAGGTGTGACGTAATCTTCACGCGCCGCGCTTCAAGATGGTGAACTTCTAAAGATGGAATCGTGAGGCAGCAGCGTCAAACATCATAACCGCCTTTTGACGGCTCACGGCCCTCGCATCCGCCCAACATGTCTATAAATCCCTCCCTTCACCTCGCCGAATATCTGGAGAGGCTGCCTGGTACGACATTCAAGAAATTGTACCAGCAGCCCTCGACAACGTTTGCCATCTTCCGGCGCATGCTGCCTCACCTGGCCAAAACATTCGTCATGAGAATGCTTTTCCTTCCTCACCCGATGACGCTCACAGACCTGGACGCTTGGGTGAAGCCGGAAGCCAAACGGTTCGATATGCACTGCTCTTGTGGCGGCATCGCGCAGCGTCTAATAGTGGCACAGGAAGAAAGACCAGTCCCTCTCCATCCTGCGAAGCCTTCACATTGTCCAGATATCAGCCCCGTCAAAAGATAAACCGCAGGAGATTCAGCTCATGTCAAACTTCAAGAAATCTCTACGACTAGCCCTCACCGGAGGCGGAAACCACAATTCCTTTGGTGTGCCTTCCTCGCTACTCATACCGCCCGAAATCGACTTGGCGTTCCTCGATCGATACGCGCGCAAGAAGTGGGAGGACGTGCTGCACTTTGTTGTATCTAGTGTCGGTTACAAGAGCAGCTTAGGAGACGGCTCGGGGCCCAACAAGGGCGTCAAGGAGCTTCTCATTGCAGGGCGGTTGGTCGACCGGCGGCCGAACGGGAGCTTGGGCATCACGCAGGCGGGCTTCACCTTTTTACTGCAGGAGGCAAACGCGCAAGTGTGGACACTGCTTTTGCTATGGCTGGAGGTTCTGGGCAATAACAAGAGCTCAGGGCTGGATCCCGTCGACATGCTTTCGTTCCTGTTCATGCTGGCGAGCTTGGAGCTGGGGCGAGCCTACGATACGAATGCGCTGACTGAAGAGCGACGGAATATGCTTCCTTCTCTCGTTGATTTCGGCCTCATCTACATCCCCCAACATAAGCGCTCCATGTTCTTCCCAACCCGGCTGGCAACAACCCTTACCAGCGGAGGAAACAGTCTACGGACAATCAGCGAGGGCGTCACAGCCGCTACTCAGTCCGCCCAGACCTCGCAGCAGTCCCTCGGCCCTCTGGGTGGCGGCGGCGGCGGCGGCGGCGAACAGGCTGGAAGCGTTGTTATTGAGACCAACTACCGTCTCTATGCCTACACCCAATCTGCTCTCCAAATCGCAGTCCTCGCCCTCTTCGCCAAGCTCAACATGCGGTTCCCCGACATGGTGGCCGGCCGTCTCTCCCGCGCGTCGATCCGCCAGGCCATCAACTTTGGCATCACCGCCGACCAAATCATATCCTACCTAGCCGCCCACGCCCACGAGCAGATGCACCGCACCGCCGCGTTGACCAACAAGCCCGTCTTGCCCCCCACCGTCGTCGACCAGATCCGCTTGTGGCAGCTCGAAAACGAGCGCATGAAGACGACGAGCGGATTCCTGTTTCGCGACTTCACCGATGACAAGGATTATCTTGATACCGCGCGTTTCTCTGAAGAAATTGGCGTGCTGGTGTGGAAGAACGACCATGCGCGCATGTTCTTTGCCAATAAGCACGAGCAAATCAAGGATTTTTTGAAGACGAGGAAGAGAGCGGAATGAGCCTTTCCGTTTTTCCTTTCTCTATTTGTTATTACGGAATTTCTCTGCCTTTTCCCCATTTATCACCGACTGGCAGAGGCGATTAATAAACATGTTGTGAATTGGCGTTTGGCGCGTGGAAATATGAAAAGCATAGGTGGAAGCAAAACATAAATCATTCGGAGCTCCCAGATGGGTGCTATTACAAACATCAGCATAGATACGAAAAAGTCAGTCAAATGAATCAAACATTTCATATTAGAGTACCTCGAGACTTTTCTATACAGTAGTTCCACATCATTTGCCATACCCTCGTGACTCTCGTATCTCTCCAATTCAAGCAACAGCAGCTTCATTCAAACCATTAGACGCAATATTTTTCCATGTATACATTCCAGGGCCCCATTTCCAGTTCCATTCCAACATGCTTCCAAAGCCATTAGTATATCCCAGGCTCATTATCCCAAGGCTTCATTGGGTGGACAAGGAGAAAAAAAAAGAAACATCGCCAAGAAGAACAAAACCAGTTGGGCGGTGAGCCACACTTTGATTAAACGCAACACAAGCAATCGAGACACGAAATTAGGACGATTTCTCACGACATTGTGAGACGGTTTCCCCGGGATGACCGAGAAAGGCTTCCAGATAGAAAGCTCTTGCTCTTATTTTCATGAGTATAAGAGCCGTGCCGCAATCCGGTCAAGCTGCGCCTCTCGCTCTTTCTGATGGCCGAGCTACCGAAAATCTTTGCCATGAAGCCTTTCTCTTCCATGGAGCCACCTTCTGGAAGTAGACAGGGTCGGCCATTTCGACGAGCGTAGGCTTGCTGCCAGGCATGCAGGGAGCGCCGTGCTTCGAGTGTGATGCAAAGTGAATCAAGATAATCGAATACGCGGCGGCAACGTGTATCTTCCTCAGTGACAGATGGAGTATTAGATGAGGTCATGAGAGTTCTCAGAGCTGAAGTAGTGGTTGAAGTAGGGAGATGAGATGTGCGCTGATAGAAGCTGCTATAAGGAGTTTTCGCCTGGGCTGAAGACGAGCCGGCCAGAGATTGGCGAGATTCACGGGCATCTGCGGCGAGGTTTTCAGATGAAAATCGGTCGTGAAGGGCCATAAACCGACCAGACCAGTAGGCGGATGATTGTGCGTTGCTAATCCGAATAGATGGAGACTCGGAGGAGCAACTTTGGACGGACTTGGCCAGCGATATCGTAGATGGCTGCATGAGGTTTAATTTTGAAAGCTGGGGAGGAGTTGTAGCTTTTGCAGTAGAAGATGGAGATATTTTGGCAGATGTGCCGCTAAAAGCAGAAGTATTGATGGAGCGAGCAGCCAACGACGGCCGAGAAATAGATGTTTTCAAGTCCTGGAGGGCACTCATAGTTCGAGACTTTGGAAGTTTATTGACCAATCGTGGTGTTGGCGGATCTAAAGGGGAAAATCCATCAGATGTGGGAGGAATATTCTCATCCTGCTCGGCGACAATTGACACTGACAGCGGCGTAGTCGTCGATGCTATTTTAAAAGATGGCTTCGGTATGGATGAGGTGGAGGATAGCAGGCTTCTGCGTAGCTTCTTTGAAGATGTTGGATCAGGGCCGGCTTTGATGGTTGGCTTGGCAGCGATGTCAAAGCTTTCGACGGTAGGGCTGCTTTGTAAATACCCGTCACTGTCAAAGCTGTCCGAGATGCACCTCAAATTTTGCGCTCGCAAACGGCTGTGGTTTTCGAGAGTCGAGCCAGAGCTGTCTGTTTCGCAGTCTTTGATGGCATCAACAATGACAAGCCTCTCGCTTCGGATAAGATCGGCACCTCTGGAGTTTTTGACAGGACCTATGGGCGCAGAGATGAGGGGCCGTCTATTTTTCCCTCGTCCTCGCATTTTTACTCAACTTGGAGGCAACGGTTGTCAAAGATGACGTGCTTGATGTGGTTGAACGATTGCGGTGCAAAGGAGATTACTGGTGCGAACTCTGGAGGCGAGAGCATTGAGTGGCGATGATTGAGAAACGAGCTGTGAGCAAGGTGTCTGTGTCGATTATGATCTAGTTTCTTCGGAAACCATTCCAACTTCTTAAAGAGATTCTTAGATAATGGCAGCGGACAGCCGTTGTTTGGATAGGCAGCGAGTATCGGGAGGGGATCGCCCTTGCTCATGCAAGACGCCGATGATGAACTGCAGGATAGATAAGACTTCAAAGAGAAAAGCGAAGGCCGACGGTGAGATGGCCTCGAGAAACTGCCAGTGTCATATCATCAAAGACTCTCACGATAGATGGTGATTCGCGGTCAACATCAGATCGTTTGCTTCTTGGGCAACGCAGCAAACAACGAGGGGAGGAGGCAGAAGCCCACAGCAGGAAAAGAAGAAAAGACCACAAAGGACGCGCTTTGTTCCAAAACGTGTCGTGTTTTTAGACAAACTTGCGTGTGGTAAAGTGATGCAGAGAGAAAAAAAAATACACAACAACTGACAGCAGAGTGATGGACACCTTTGTCAGGTGCCAGGCAGAACCCACCTTCCCACTGGCAGAATCCTCGGTTGCGCAGTTATTCCGCAAAGCAGACGCATCTAATACTTGATCGGTTTATTTCGAGCATTAATTTTGAATATTGGAGGTATCAAGAGCCCCAAGATATCCCATCTCTCCCTCTGCCCTATATGTCGAAGCTTTACTGTTGACCATCTTTCACCATCTATTGCTTCCACCTTGTACCTTCGCGCTTGCTCATATGCCTCAGCTCCGTGTCGTCGTTTGTGCCAGTGTATTTCCCCAAATCCATCCGAATTCAACCCAACAAAGAGAAAGCGGCCCGGCTTTATTCGTCCCAGCCGTCGACCCTGAAGCGAAAAGCAACGTCTCCTTCCCCTCGAGGAATCTCGTTCCCATTGGCATCCCAGAGAGCACGTTCGACATAAGTCACGTTGCCGTCATTGTCGACCAACAGAACCGTCTGTCTCTGTGTTCCGTACATGCCCTCCTCGAAGCCAATGGACGGATGGGGGCTTGGGCTCGGGGTGACATCCGGCCTTGATTCTGCCTTGAGCTCTTCGACGGCCTTGAGGTCGTCCTTCAGATGCGCCCACAAGATACCTCCTTTTGCAGCGGCCTTTTGCATCTCCTCATGGTTGATGTCGTCACCGATTGGCGGTACGAAGATGGTATGCCTCAACAGGTTCATGTACTCTTGCAAGCTCGATCCCGCAGGTCGCTCCGGCAAGGATTCTGTGTCGAGAATGGAGAACAGACCTGCGACCAGGTCGTCTTCGGATGCGTTCTTTGCTGCGGCTTCCAGAATCACTTCCTTCAAGAGCCGTTTTCCTGTCGTCACCTTGGGCCACTCGTTGGGGTCGTTGTAAACAGTGTTGCTGAGACCCCAGACGCCATCTGGTTCCAGTCCGACTATCGGAACGTCGCTCACATCGGCGGCCCTATTGCTCACAATTGCGATGCCTTCGTTGTTGCGCCTCAGCTTGCCGCACACCATAGAAAAGCCCCCTACGCCTTTAACGCCGCCGTCTTTGACCAGCTCATCCACGCCCTTCTTTATACCCTCATCGGGAAGTCCTCCGAGCCACATGTTGACCATGCGGCCTCGGCTTTTGATGCCGTGTATCGGGTGTTCAGCGTCATCGTTGACCAGTTCCCGGTAGTTGGTCAGCACAGCTAAGCTTCCGGTCTTTGTTATGCCGAGCCAAGTGCCTTTTGCCGCCCTCTGGAGGTCTCGCGATGAGAGAACCTCGCCGCCCGACTCTGGATGCGTCCACCAGTGCGGCCGCGACGTGGGCCTCAGGATGAACTCATCGCGATTGTCAATGAGAATGAGCGAATAGCCGGGATGAGCCGTTGTGAAGAGCACGATACACATTGTGGTGAGTTTGCGTTGCTGGATATGAACTTGTACAGGATGTTGTTCGTTGGTGTGGATGGACACGCTGAAGCTCGAGCGAGTGCCGTTTCACTACCTTATTATAAGGGCGAAGCCAATACAGTGAGCCGACGTCGGCGCCACAAGAATGAGGCTTGTTGAACAACGCACAAGACAAGAAGCCTGATACGAGCGCCTCCTTCAATCACAGACGCTTCGGGATATCGCCAAGCCCAGGGATTGGTGCCAGCACATGCCACTTCAAACATCATAAGGTCAAGTGCAGTGATGCAAGGCGTGGGCTGATGGAGCTGCGGAACCCGCCACCAACCGGCTTACACACAAGCCCCGCTGGTACGATTGCCGAGCCAATGCGCCGATGGGCCGTGAGATCGGCTATGAGGAAGCTTTGCCATGAGCCCGTTTTATAGTCTTATATTCCGATGTGTGCCTACGAAAATGCTTAGGAGCCGTAAAGTAAAGATTGGGCGACGTTCTTGGCCAATACAATCCCCCCGGCGTCGATGCCAGCGTTCTTACGCGTGGAGACGAGATGTAGTTTATAAAGCCGATCAGCACGATGTGCCTTTCACATGAGACAATGGATCCAGTATCCCACTTTCATTAACGGGATTCCGATGCTAGGTACGTATCGAACCCTCTAAACATCTAATTTACCGTCCTTGCGCTCCTTAGTGGTGATTGTGGTTGCTCCCTACATAAACATGAATCTAGTACATCCACGTGCTTACAGCACAGCATTGAAGGTGGAACTAATCCATGGTCCCATCCATACCTACACCAAGACTTGCACCTCCAAGATTAGAAACGCAGGTAGTTGCTTCCACTGTAATCTTGTGCGTGTGTTGCTTCTTAAAGCATGCACATCAACATTTCCAGTAAGTCGCTAGAGTAGTGACGGTGATGGGATGTCTTGCATCCGCACAATGGATCCAAAATGTCCTTGAGAACAATGAGACTAGTAACAGGCCACATCGTATATGGGAATGGCGATTATAGACAACGCGATTAGTGAAAAACACTTTTATTCTAATAATAATAATAATAATAATAATAATAATAATAATAATAATAATAATAATAATAAAAATAATAATAATAATAATAATAATAATAATAATAATAATAATAATAATAATAAAAATAATAATAATAATAATAATAA